CCCCAAAACCCCAAAACCCCAAAACCCCAAAACCCCGTAAGTTCTATTCATAATTGAATAAATTCCATAAATAAAATAAAATATTATAGAAAATGAGTAGGCTGTTCGAGCAATTTCAGAAGAAGAACACAGTTCCAAAGGTGTCAAAAGTCAGTTCGAAAAGCAAGCCTGAAGAAGTTGTGATTGCTATCAAACTCAAGAGGTAAGGGATTCACATAAACTTGATTTCTCCAATATTTCTTCAATTTTATTTAAAATTCTAGCAACGCTGATAAGCGAACAGAACTAGACGACAACTTTGTTAAAGTGATCGAGTACGAGTATGCTGTGAAGTATCTTGAAATTATGGGTGTGAGCCCCTCTCCTAAAATGATAGCAATGCTGTTAAAATAATCATCCATTATCATCATGAGAACTCTCTTCAGGCTGGTCCAAGACAGGTTGGCTAGCAGATGTGATCTACATTTACCCTAATAAAAAGGCAAAGCAGAATAATTAGGGAGGAGGAGTCCAGAGGATTCCCTACAAAGTCTGCCTCTCAACCTGAGTTAGGCAGGCAACAAAATAATTTAGCAAGTGATAGCAAGATTAAGCCGTACAAAATTAATGTTGATAAAATCAAAGCTGATCCATCTAAGAAAGAGGACACCGAACGAGCAGGAGAATCCAAGAAGAAGGAGCTTAATATGGATCCTCAGTACTGGCAGCAGAAATTTTTGTATCCCTTTTTGGTCAAAGATGATCTGGAAACAGGAAAATTTAGAAAGCCAAAAGAGAAAATTTTCATGAAGACCCAGCCAATTGATAAAAATCTAAAAAGTAAGAAAAAGTTTAATGTTTAGATGAGTTCTCTTTTGATACGATAATTGATGATCCTGAACTTAAATTCCCTTTAAACAAGTTACAGAAAGGAACTGAAGGAGTCTTAGAGGAGCTTCAAGTCCCTTTGCAAGTAAAAATAGAGGACATAATTCTTGACATAAAGAAGTTTGCCAATAGATTTCCCAAAGAATACATCCCTCATTTGAATGATACTCAAGTGATAGATAAAGCTCATAATTTCAATCGTTTAGATAAGGTAGTTATTTTTGACGACCTGTAGGGGATACAATCAATTCCAGTAGAAACTCTTAATGAGATGTTTCCTAACAATCCGACTTTAATCAAGAAATTCTTGCATTCCATGAATAAGAATGTTGAGAATAAGCCAAGGATGATAGCAAAGCCAACTCTTACTGCAGATGATATCATCAAAGCATTGGATGAAATAAATTCAAACAAATTTGCTAGATTTACAGGCTTGATTTGCCATCTCGTCTACTGGTCTGTCTTTGGAGAGATCAACCAGGTTCCACTCGAGGACTCATACAAGAAGGATCTTTATATTGAGACTGTACAGGTCAAGACTTATTTTGAAACGAAATATGCAGGGAAGAAGAAGTTTACCACCCTTATTATGCCACTAATCCTACTGGCTCTTCGTGTAATGATGGAGATCATCTTTAAAAATGCTTATCCACTGTTCTTCTCAGAACCTCTGAATGAGAAGATTGGGATGAAACATATTAACCTGGTGATAACCAAGTTATTAGATCCAAATCTTTTCTGTAGTAGATTCAGTTTCTTTGAATCTGATAAGGAGTCTATATCACTGAAATATGGTCAAAATAAGAAAGGAATAGGACTTTCTGCCCTTAAAGCAAAATATAACGGAAGAAGTACCCTAATGGAAACTCTGATTCCGGTACCTTCAGAAGGAAAGATTAGAAAAATGTTCAATGGTTATCAACCAAGTGCTTCTTCTCAACCTAAATTGCCAGGGATTAAGAAGTCTCAGTCTGTGAGTAAGCTTCAGCTCAAGAAGAAAAGTAAGGTATTGTATTTACCCTTCATAGAAACTATCGCTACAAGCTCTACATCATCTTTCACTGAATTTGATTTTGAAGCCAAAGAGCAGCACATGCAAAAGAAATTAGAGGAAATGAACAAAAAGGCAAAACTGTTCAGGATCGCTGTTGACAAGGTCAACAAGCATATGAAATTCGGAAAGCTTAAAAGATAATTAATACTAATTAGCTGCAACCAAAAATGCTGCTGTTAAAATTTTGAATTATTCAATTTTATCTCAACTATTCGGGGTTTTGGGGTTTTGGGGTTTTGGGGTTTTGGGGTTTTGGGG